ACCCGTGGGAGGTTCAGTGCCCCCCCCCCCGGGTTCGCTTCTCCGCCCAGATCCGGGCTTTGCCGGAGGCCCTTCGCCTCCTCCCTCCGGCCACTGGGGTCCTCCTGCACTCCGCCGGCGGGCAGGTCTCTCTGCCAGGAAGAGGCTGCTGCTGGGAGCCCCCCTCCCTCCTCGGACCTGAGGCGACGGAGTTTTACAGCCTCCGCGGTCGCGGTTTGCCCACAAGCGCTGGGCTTTTCCCTGCTGCGAAAGCCCCACGGAGTGGGGGAAATCCTTCCACTGGAGGGCTGAGAGGGGCCGATCCGCTCCCCCCCCCTTTCGGGGCAGGGACCACGTTCCCCCCGTGTGGCTCCTGGCCTCTGAGCAGTCTGAGCTTATTTAGCCCATTCCTTTATACTTCGCCTTTCTCCCTCCAGCGGGGACCCAAAGCGGCTCACAGCCTTCTCCTCGCCTCCATTTCCCCCACAACAACCCCGTGAGGTGGGTTGGGCGGAGAGAGGGCGTGTGCCTAGCAGCGCCAGTGGGGAGTCGAACCGGGTCTCCTGGCCCGGCACTCTTCACCAAGCTGTAGAGTCGGTGCCGTCTAAAAGGGACGATGAGGCGCCAGTGCAGTCGCTGCCTCGGATTGCGCCGTACGTTCCCCGGGCGCAGCTGCAGCGCTCCAAGGGCCGTTCTTCTGGCGCAGAGGAGACCTCTCACAACAGGCAGGCAGGCAGGCAGGCAGGCGCTGCGATGCAGGAAGAAGAAACCTCTGCCCCGATCGCTGGTGCTTCCTTGTGTGTCCCTTCCCCGCTTCCGCGAACCGTTCAAAGGAGGGCTCTTAGCGAGGTTTCTGTCCCCTGTCTTCGCTTGTTCCAGTAGACTGCGGGCCAAGAGGAGGAGGAGGAGGAGGAGAAAAGGCTTCCTTCTCTTGTCCAGCGTCCTTTCCCAGGCAGCCCCTGATCAACTGGGGATCCATGTTGGCCCAGGGTGCCTGGGGAGGGGCCGCGGCTCAGGTTCAGTCTCTCCCTTCTCTGTTTTAGAAGGACTGGCTGTTAAAGAGATGTGAAAGACCCGCGCCTGAGCCGCTGCCAGTCAGTGTAGGCAATACTTATTTATTTATTTACAGTCAGTGTAGAAAATACTTATTTATTTATTTATTTACCTTATTTTTATCCCGCCTTTCTCTCTGGGACTCCAGGTGGATCACACAGAGTGAGTCAATAGAATCAAGAAGATAGAACGTTCAATAAATACTGAAATAGGGTTTGGGTTGTAGAACCATCCAGAAGTCTAAAAACAGAACTGAAGCAAAGCATAATGTTAGCCTGACACATGAAAGGGAGAAAAGTGACCTGATAGGACCCAACTTCCAGCAAACTACACAGAATAGTCTAGACCAGGGTCGCGAATAAATTGTCCAGGTAGCTTCGTGAAGCCTCGTGTCCGGTGATCCCCTATCGCCTGCCCAGAAAAGCCCTCTTGATTGGACAATACGGTTTTGCATAGTTTGCGGGAAGCCAAGCCAGCAGGAGCCTTCCTGGCCTGCCCAGGCAGGGGCCCTTCCTCCGGGTAGGGGCCACACGTCGGAAAGCCGCCTGTACTGGGGGTTGGGGGGTGGGGGGGGGGGTTGGTCTTGCCCTTTTGCAGTCCTGAGCTGAATGGAGCGTCCTGCCGTCCCAGGCAGACATGAGAGACTAATAGGGTTGCTGATGGCTTCTCCCTGTTTTTGAAAGGTAGAGGAACAGAAAGTCTTCTAAGGCAGCCGTCCTAGGCACACTTCACTTGGACTCCGGCGGACTTACTTCTGAGTAAACATGCACAGGATTGGACTGCTCGTGAAAGGTTCATTTCTGTTCAGTCTAGAGAATCTGGGGCAAATGCTAACGGGAGAGGTAATCTCAGGGTGTGCTGCGCAAACGCAATTTGGATCCTGACAGACGTCATCAGAAGGATCCATGTGTGCTTGCCATCTTTTCCGGGGCGGCCCGGGAGTGAGAGAGGCAGCTTGGCTTCGCAGCCGGGCACCACAAAGACAGAAGAAGAGGGCTTCCAGAGATTTTGTGCGCCAGACGAATGACCCTCCTGAAGGGAAGTCGTGCTGGATAATGCTTCAGGCATCGGGCTAGAGCCGGGTTCAGATCCCTTCTTGCCCTGAAACTAACCGGGAAACCTCATTGCCTCTCAGATTATCCTACCTCTCAGGGGTGTGGTGAGACTGAAATGTTGGAGGGACCAACAGGCGCCCTGCACTCCTTGGAGGAAAGGCCGGATGGGGATGCCCGCAGTATATCCACGGGAAGTCCACTCCTGTACAATCTAAGCCAGGCAGCTGCCTCCCGCCGGAGTCGTAGAGAACGGGTTGCTGTCTGAAGACGGGCCGGCGGAGCCGCCGCTGTCCCCACGCCGCCCTTTTAATGTGTGAACATTTGGCAAACCCGCCCCGTTCAGATGGACAATTCGGTTCCTGTGGCTGAGGAAATCCTTAGCAACTCAGCCCCCCTCCCCGGTGTTGAGTACAATCATAACGCTCTCTCCACGGGTTCCTAATGACGCGGATTCTGAACATGAGAAGCTGCAGGAGTGAAGTCTAGCGGGTCGTGACGACCAAAGAGCCGGCCGAGCTCTCACCGGAGCGCTTTGGCGGCGATCTCGCGGCTGGCGTTTTTCTCGCCCGCGCGTCAAGAGAGGGGGTCAGAATGGTGAGTTAAAAAGATGCCCAGTGGCTGCAGTCACACTCACGAAATAGTCCACTTTCAATCCACTCCCAAGGCATTTTTCCAACTGGATTTTACTGTGTGCACTGGTCAGATCCAGTTAGAAAGACCACTGACAGTGGGTTATTTAGAGTGCGCGCGACCGTAGCCAGAGTGTGACACCCCTCCCGTCCTCGGACCTGGAGAGAAGACCCAGAGAGGAGATCTCCTCTCTCACCAAAGGAGCCTGGACTCTCCAGATCGGATCCCCCGAGGATCTGTCTTGTTGGTCTCCAAGGGCTGCCTGGTGCTGGACGCAAATCAGGCAGAAAGGCCGGTTGAACTTGAGGAGGGTGTTTTTGGGGGATGTGTGGAGAAAATAAGGGAAGAGGGAGAGCAAATTCGACGCTTGCTGTTTGTTTCTGCGCCGGGCGGGAGCAGAGGAAAAGGCTTCGGTGTGACCCCGTTTGCGGCTCGCCCCCCTTGGCAAGCCAGTCCTTCGGAGGCGAGAAGCACCTAAGACGCCTCCTGTGCCGCGCCCTTCAGGAACTTGGCGGCGCCCCCAGCTGAGCCCGGGCGGGGGAGAGCTCCAGACTGGCGCAAAGTCCTGTCCTGGGGCCTTGGGCGAGCTCTCCTTCTCCTGGTCTTGCTTCAAATCCCTTCCAAGGAGAGTCCCAGCTTTCTCACCTCTGCCTGTTAACGCTTTTATTTGTATGCGAATTTGCTGCAGTTCATAGGTCTTACCCAACTGTTTCAATCCAGTCTCAGCTATTCTTATCGCTCAGTTCCCTATGCATCTAGCCCCTTCTGGCAACTCACCCCCCCCCCCCTCCACGTAAGGCTTGAGGGAGCCTGTTTCAGTGTCCCTGAGGAAGTGCGCCTGCACGCAGGAAAGCCCATGCCCAGCAGCATGACACTCTGCGGCTCTTACAGGTGCCCACCGGACTCAGACTTCCTCCTGTGGCTTCAGAGCAACACCCGGCGGACCCCCCCCCCCCCGGCCCCATCCTGGACCGCGCTTGCCAAGAGGGAAGGGGGGGATGCGATTGCAACCGGCGCGGTCGGCTGGCAGCCCGGTGTGGGGCGCCGCGGACTTCAAGGGAGCGACTGGCACCCCGCCGGCCCCCCCCCTCTTCTTGGGGGTCCCGGAGCGCCCCAAGGGCTCCTCTGGTGGCCCGACTTCCGGGCTCGGCCGCTCCTCCCGCACCCGGGC